CAGAGGGGCAGAGAGAAGAGGCACAAAGTACCTTTCACCTTTTTTTTTTTTTAAAAGATTTTATTTATTTATTTATTTATTTATTTGAATGAGAGAGAGAACGAGCGGGGGGCAGGAGCAGAGGGAGAGGGGCAAGTGGACTGTGCGTTGAGCACAGAGCCCGACAAAGGGCTCGATCTCAGGACCCTGAGATCAGGACCTGAGCTGAAGTCAAGAGTCGGACGCTTAACTGACTGAGCCCACCCGGGCGCCCCAACCTTACTTCTTTTTGAAACCACTCTTGTGCATTGCTATTTTCCTCTGAACCCTAACCCGACTTCCCCGCTGTGGCTCCGCGAACTTGAGGTCCAGAGGCTTCAAGTTCGGACTAGATATCACTTCCTCGTGTGGCGAGCGAGGCGCTGGCCTATCAGACGCCCGAGGTCTGTCCCAGCTGCTCTCCTCTATCGTTCGGGAAGGGGTCCCTGTCGTCCTACGGCCACTTCTCACCTGGGTAGTAAGGAGAAATCCTTAAAGCTTTCCTGAAAACAAGGAGTTAAAATTAGAACAGCATTCCTTATCAACTGAAGACTATCCCTGGCAAACACCCCATTAATTTCGGATCTCTAAGTGTGCTGACAGACTGACGAATGTAAAATCCTCCATGATCTAAGTTCTGCTTAAGAAACCACCCTTCACACGTGCACATCCGACACATACGTGCCCGTGCTCGCGTCTGCCCACTCGCACTGAGCCTGCAGACCGCTGCGGACCCCGTCATTTGCGCACTCGCCCGCGCCTCAGCACGCACTCTTGGATCTCACTGGTCCTTCACGACCGGAACTCGGGACAGCGAGGAATGACACAAACAGCAAAAGCAGAAGAGCTATCTTCTTTTACTCCATTAAAAGGTAGATGAAGAAATAATTAAAAAAAAAAAAAAAAAAACATAGGGGGTGCCTGTGACTCAGTCAGTCGAGCACACAACTCTTGATCTCAGGGTCATGAGTTCAAGTCCCACGGTGGGTGTGGAGATTACTTAAAAAAAAAAATAGTAGAGATCCAAGAAGTTCTTGATTCAAGATCCTCACTAAGGTAAGAAATCGTGAGAGGAGGGGCGCCTGGGTGGCTCAGGTGTTAAGCGTCTGCCTTCGGCTCAGGTCGTGATCCCAGGGTCCTGGGATCGAACCCCACATTGGGCTCCCTGCTCGGCAGGGAGCCTGCTTCTCTCCCTCTCCCACTCCCCCTGCTTGTGCTCCCTCCTCTCTGTGTCTGTCAAATAAACAAATAAAAATCTAAAAAAAAAAAAAAATCGTGAGAGGGAGATGGAAGGCACCAGACAGAGCACCAGAACCCAGGGAATTGAGCACGGAGTATTACTCTTGTCAAGCACTATGCTATGTTGGCGAACAACTACCAAAGCACAAAAGGTGAGCAACCGCCCAGGACACAGGCAAAGATCACCAGGGCTAGCGCTCTAACTCATCATTCGGGTTTAATGACACTACTCTAAATGACTTCTAGTAAAAATTGTCAGTAATCACTTGATATTATTTAATATTAAGACCCTATGTAAGGGGCGCCTGCCTGGCTCAGTTGTTAAGCGTCTGCCTTCCGCTCAGGTCATGATCCTGGAGTCCTGGGATCAAGCCCTGCATCGGGCTCCCTGCTTGGCGGGAGTCTGCTTCTCCCTCTCCCTTTCCCCCGTTTGTGTTCCCTCTCTCGCTGTGTCTCTCACTGTCATAAAATTAAAAATCTTTAAAAGAAAAAAAAAACCTATTTAGTTGTGCCCGGTTATCCTGGTAATGCCTTTTACAGCTGTTTTCTTCCATGTGTGGAAGTGTGGATCCAATCAAAGTCCAAACTACCTATAGTTAGAGCCTGTTTCCTTAACTTCTGTTTCTCTGCGGAAAAAAAAATCAACATTTCAAAATATACCTCTAGGGATGCCTGGCATTTGAGCAAGTACAGCACACTGCTCTGCTTCTCAGGGTTATGAGCTGAAGCCCCATGTCGGGTATAGAGCATACTTAAAAATAAATTCCTTTTTTTTTAAGATTTTATTTATTTGACAGAGAGAGAAAGATCACAAGTAGGCAGAGAGGCAGGCAGAGAGAGAGAGAGGAAGAAGCAGGCTCCCCGCCAAGCAGAGAGCCCAATGCAGGGCTCGATCCCAGGACCCTGAGATCATGACCTGAGCCGACGAAGGCAACGCTTAACCCACTAAGCCACCCAGGTGCCCCACTTAAAAATAAATTCTTAAAAAGAAAAAAACACACTAGGAAATCCACTTTAGTAAGAAAGATATTTTAGCCTTACTTATAAATGTGACTGACACAAATTTAAAATATCTCTATAATATATGACTTTAAATTTTTGCTAAAACACTCAACTATGTTACTAAAATAGTTTTTAAAATTCTAGAACAGGGTGCCTGGGTGGCTCAGTCATTAACCATCTGCCTTTGGCCCAGGTCATTATCCCACAGCCCTGGGATCAAGCCCCACATCAGGCTCTCTGCTCAGCAGGAAGTCTGCTTCTCCTTCTCCCACTGCCCCTACTTGTGTTCCCTCTCTTGTGCGCTCTCTCTCTCTCTCTTCTGCCCTCTCTGTATTAAATAAATAAAATCTTTTTTAAAATTAAATAAATAAAAAATAAAATTCTAGACCAGCTTTAGTTTAGAAATAGCTCTAGATCCCTTTAGTAGGCTGTAAAAAGAATCCAAATCTTCAGCTGGTAGGGAGTGCAAAGTAGATAGAACAAGTTATTGAGGTGAGAAGAATCATGTCTGATCCAGAAGAGGGACACAAAGAAGTTTTCTTCTTTATGCTTCATTCTACTTTACAAAAGCACAGCAGGGCTGTGAGCCAGAAGCTTGGAAGAACACAGAGGGAAAACTTTCCTCTGGTAAGTTCTAGGAGAAAGAGTTTCTCTTTCCAGGAGAAAAAGCTTAAATAAAGATGTTGTGGTGAGATTTGGATACCAGCCCTCAAACCACCCTCCATCACTGGCAGTGCTGGCAGGAAATCCCACTGTTCCAAGAACGGTATCGAATTCAAGCCTGGATCTCACCCCACATACTCAGTTCACAAAAGTGATTCCAGGTAAAAAATCACAGAGCTTTAGGCCTCACACTTAAGATTTTAACTTTATCCGTTAAAAATATACAATGTTTCTGCTCACACACAGAAAATAGCAGAGTGTAAATTGAACACTGATTTGGAGTTTCAGAATATTTTCACATCCCTCATCCAGTTTAATGTTCTTAAGAACCCCACCAGATAAGGCATTATCATTAAACCCATGTCATAGTAACTGAGGTCCACTGGGATTGGACTTGCTTGTGATCCCTTGGTTAGGAGTGGTTTTTTTGTCTGATGCCCTAGAAGGCAGCTCTCTTCCTGGACACTGCAATTCTCTTCTTTTCCTCATTGAGTCAGAGCTTAACTCAAAGTAACACTGGAAAAAGTATATACATATTAAGCCACATGAAGTTAGTCTTAGGAAAAGAGGTTAAGCCCTATGTCAAAGTATTTAACGGAAAACCCTGCCTCCCAGAAACCAATCCACTAGAGGAAAAAAGAAAAAGAAACAGAAAATAATCATAAAAACAGTAATAGAAATAAGAAATAGGAAACCAAGCTCTCTTCCTGGAAAATACACTTAACAAACTATTCCTATTATTATGTAATTCCTATTATTACATTACATAACACTACTACAAATGTTAGGTAACCATCGGTATTTTTTTAAAATGAGTAAGTGTAACTGGTTGATTCTTAATTGTTCTATACAATTTTGTCCTTAGCTGTACCTAAAGACTAGGAAGGCTCCTTATCCAAAGCAGAAAGCACGCGCAGAAGAGGCAGTATTCACAAGCCGGTGTAAGCTCACCGCAGCGACGAAGAACATACCCTCGCGCTACTACGCGCTCAGATTTTCCCGACACGTTAATCTGATAAATAACTACTGCACAGCACTAAACATGTCTTCATTAATCACAGTCCTATTTAAGTACAAAAGCTTCCCGTCTGGAAAGTCAGGAGTGAAGCTTGTTTCCAAACTCACTCTAGCACGTGAGACTGCATTACTCGTCTCCCGTCGCTGCGCTGTGAAGTTAGCGGGAAACAGTACCTGCCAAAAGGCCAGGCCTTTAAAATCAATCCTTTTTATACTGGCAAAAATCCGGCTGCCCTCACACCGCGGCCTCTGCGCGGTTACAGGACTTAGGTCTCCTCGGGCGGCACGACTCGCCTCTTGACACACCATTCGCTACTGAAAAAACAGACAGACGGACAGACAGACAAAACAGGGCCCCACACCTCACTAGGTGTTAAGCCACGACCCAGGAAAACTAGAAACCATGCCCCTAAGAGAAGCTACTCAGAACTGCTTCAAGGTCATACCAAGCGTTCTACAGTAACCGCCGGCGCCCCAAGAGTCGGGGTGAAGTCAAATAAAGTGTCTTCAGGTCTTTCACCCGCCAATGCCCTTAGATTCTAACCGGAGAGGAAATCGGGCGAGAGCGAGCGCGGCCTCGGAGAGACGCCGGCTCGGTCGGCCGAACAGCCGATGTACACAGGCGCGGCCTGACTCCCCTCGGCGCTCACACCGGGTCCCTAAAACCAGAAAACCGGAAGGCGGCCTGGACGCAGCACCCGCAGCACCTGTGCTCACCAGCAGCGCACCTGCCGCGCACCTGCGCTCCCACAGCGCCTCCCACTGGCGCCTGCCAGCCCCGCGTCCCCGCACCGCCACCGCACACCTGGGCGCGCAGCCGCGGGACAGGTGCCCCGAGCCCGGCCTGCCGTCGGGGACTTGGCGACTTCCCGCCAGGAAGCCGCGCCGGGGGCGGGGGTCCTCCCACAGCCCGCCGGCCCCCCGCCCCGCCGCCCGGCCACGGCCAACCACCGCCCCGCCGCCCGGCTGCCGCGCCCTTGTCACTCCGCGTCCCAGGCGGCGCGGACCCGACCTCCGGGAGCCCTCGCTGGTGCCGGGGTCCGGCCCGCGGGGCTCGTCACCTCATGAGGTAGTCCCGAAAATCCTTGCTCCGGACATAGTCCGCCGCTTTCCGCACCAGCGCGCCCGCCATGGCCGTGCCCGACACCAGGCCGCCCGCGCCGCCCTCGCCTGCGCTCCTCGGAGCCCAACGACACCCAGCCTAGCGGGCAGCGCGGACGCCGCACCCGCTCGCGGGCCCGCCTCACGACAGCCGGCTCCGCCTTACGGCCGCGCCGCGCCGCCCGGCTCTCGGCCTATGGGAGGACGCAGGGCGGGAGGCGGCGGCACGGATTGGCTGGCTTGCGCCGCACACCCTCTCACCGCCCCTCAGCGGCGCTCGGGGGCGGGGCCTGCTGCCGTAAAACGGCCGGAGGCGGCGGGGGATTGGCTGGCGGTCGCTTCTGGCGCGGCCGCGATGGTGCCGTCGCGACCCGCCGGGCTCCTGCGGCCGCCGCAGCGTGGGTGGCCACCTCCTCGCAAGGGCACCTTGGCGGGCCGGGACGCGCGGCGACGTCGTCTGGGCGGGAAGGCGGGAGGCTTCGGTGTTTCGGCTCTTCGCAGGACCGTGCGGGACGGTCGGGTCCCGGGAGCTGCCTTTGGTGGGGGCGCGGGGGCCTGCGCGGTGGGCGCCGCCGGCGGGGGCGGAGATCCGAGCCACCGCCCGGGCGCAGGGCGGGGCTGGCACGGACCACGGGCCGGCCGGCGGCGCAGACGTGTCCTGGGACCGAGCCGCGGGCTTGTGCAACTTCCGAGCGCAGCGTGGATTTAATGCGTCCGGCGCCCTGCGCTGGCCCTGAGCCGCAGGGGGTCCGAGCCGCGGCGGGGGGTGGGGTCCGAGCCGCAGGGGGGTGGGGTCCGAGCCGCGGCGGGGGGTGGGGTCCGAGCCGCAGGGGGTCCGAGCCGCAGGGGTGTGAGCCGCAGGGGTGTGAGCCAGGGGCCCGCGGTGCAGGAACGTGGGGAGGGAAGGGTCCGGCCCGGCCGCGGACTGGGATCGGAGTTCTAGGAGCCGGGCTTTTCCCGCGGCTTCAGGGGTCGCCGTGGGCAGGACTTCTTCGTGTTAATAACTGTCTCCGCCACGTAAATACGGAGCGGCGGCGCCTGGGGGCTCAGCCATGATCCCGGGGTCCCGGGGTGCAGCCTCGGGTAGGGCTCCCGGCTGGGCGGGGAGCCTGCTTCTCCTCGCCGGCCGCCCCCCCTGCTAGAGCGCGCCCTTTCTCGCGTATAAGTGGATAAAACCTTTCCACACGGAGCAGGCTGTGTGGTCTAATGCTGAAGGACATACGGGGGGCAAGAGGTCCAGCTGCGTTATTTCGTAAAACCTGAGAAAGCCCTAAAACCCCTACCTGGTCCCTGCATGGACAGAGTATAGAACGTAAACATGCAAACGTCGCTGGCTGCCTTGTGTCCCGAGTTGTAGAAGAAAGACTCAAGCCCATCCGAATTTGGGAGTGACCGTCACACACGGGGCTGTACTCCTCGCCTCCGTGTTGACTGGTTGGAGCAGGAGCTGTGAGGGAGACAGATAGCTGCAGCCGGAGTGGGGGAAAGCGGGCCGTGCTCCGGAGCACCCGGATGGCCCAGGGTTGTGTTCGCGGCCCGCCCACAGCGTATCCAGGGCAGTGGTATTTATAGGACGGTCGGCAGTCCCAGGGAGGGTGCCCCATGCAGGGGATCACGCAGGCAGGTCTGTGATGCCCCACAGGGTCGAAGAAATCTGTATGGTAGTAAACTACCTACATTTTTTCACCTATCAAAATAGCAAAACAATAAAGAAGAGAGAAAGCAGAGTAGTTATGCCTAAGAACTAACACACTTGGGGCACCTGGGGGTCTCAGCTGTTTGGCGTCTGCCTTTGGCTGGGGTCATGATCCCAGGCCCGAGTTGGGCTCCCTGCTTGGTGGGAAGCCTGCTTCTCCCTCTCCCATTCCCTCCTGCTTGTGTTCCCTCTGTTGTTGTGTCTTTATCTGTCAAATAAATAAAACCTTAAAAAAACTAACACGCTTCACACATTTTCTTCTGGAAATTGGGGTAATAATGACCGTTTTGTCCATCGGGAAGGGCTATTGTGATGACGAGAGGCAACTTTTGAGGCGTACTTACTGAATGAGAACGTGTTCTATAGACAGAGGTGTGCTGTTTCGTCCGTCTGTCTGCCCACTTGTACTCCAGCCCAGCACCTGCTTTTCCTTGGTTCCAGTCCAGTAGGCACACGGTAGTTTGATGGCTTCAGCAACTTAAAGAATGTAGTAAATGAGTAAGCCGAGAAACCCAGGAGTTCAGTGAGAATCGGGGACACTTGCACTCAGACACCAGTGCACTGTCTGGAATATGAATGTGTAGTGTCTTGCCAAGTTAACTCTTGGGTCCTACCTGTCATGAATCCTTCATGCTGCCCCCAAGGCTTGGTGAAAGCTTTTCGATTAGCAGCTCCCGTCCCCGTCCATTTTCCTCCAGGCTCACTGGTCCCATACCGTTCTACAGAAGTCGCAAAGAAACAGTTTCACAGGCAAGGAATCTTCACTTGGCTTGGCAATTCAGGAATTTCCTAGTGACTAAATGGTGAAGGATGAAGGAAACAGAAACATCCCTATTTTGCATTCCCTACTGATAGGAGCGGATTAGGCCACAACTACCGGAGGACGCCAGACCGAGCCACTGGAAGGGGAGAGGAAACTGTGTAATCACAGGATGCGAACTGTCGGCCCCAGATTGCTCTCTGCTGGTTTGTGGGGAAAACAGGCCAGCACACTCTATTATGAGCACAGGCAGCTTTTCGCAGCGCTTGTGTTCTTGGCAGCCTTGGGAAAAATGAAGCCCCTGGGGTGGGAGGAGGGGATTTCTTGGTTCAAGGTACATAGGAAACGTTTGAATCGGACAAGGTTAATTTTTTTCCTGCAGCTCTTCTGAGAGCCTTTACTTAGCTCACGGAAACTGTGACAGCATAAAGGAAGCTTATCCGATTTCCTTAACCACGGAGCCCTTTTGGAAGGAGCGTCTTGTAGAGCTGGTGGTCCAGGGGCTCCACTGGCTGGACACCCTCCCAGCGAGGGTATGCCCAAGGAAGAAACCGGACCTTCAAATCAGGTGACTACATCCTACCTCCTTTTATTTATTTATTTATTTATTTATTTATTTTTAAGATTTTATTTATTTGACAGATGGAGATCACAAGTAGGCAGAGAAGCAGGCTCCCCGCCTAGCACAGAGCCCAATGCGGGACTCGATCCCAGGACCCTGAGATCGTGACCTGAGCCGAAGGCAGAGGCTTAACCCACTGAGCCACCCAGGCACCCCTTCCTACCCCCTTTTATTTAGTTGCCTACCTTTGGCAAGTCTCTAAAAACCCCTAGGCTTCTTTTTTTTGTCTATAAAATTGAAACAGTGTCACACCGTACATGTTGTTGAGTTTCTGTGAGAATTGCCGGGAGTAACAATGGGTGAGGTCCCCAGTGGCCGCCAAAGAGCCAGAGACTCAGTAATGCATCCACGTTAGCCTTCAGTGTCCCCACCCACCTTCCTGTCAGCTCAGGTGCTTTGCTTTTTAATCAGGGAGAGAGTGTAAATACTGCGCCACCTTCAATCCTCCAAGCACTGTTTACTCTGAATGAGGACAAAGGGCTGAGATGTTATCCTGTTCATCTCTGCCCTTGGAGAAAGGTCAGAGGTACCCCAGCTCTCTCTAGGGCCTCATCTCAACATCTCCTACACAATTGTTTGTTTCTGAGTGTGGTGAAAACCATGTTGGGGGCGCGTATGACAGGGGACTTGGGATACCTTCACCTTGACCTTCCACTCTCTGGTTGGATTCTTCTTTCCATTTGGTCTCTTGGCTCAGGGGGAAGACCCTGTAGTCAAGCATCCCCTCTAGGGAACCAACTACCTCTCAGGCAACAAGGATTGCCCTGAGCCAGCAAGACCCCACGGGTGACTGACTCTGAGACGATGATCAGTTTGACCTTCACTGCCCCGCTGCACATAACCTCCCGTCTTTGCCCCACATTTTCCTTATATAAACCTGGAAATATTTTTGGCACTTTAGAGCTAGCCTTTGAGACACAAGGTCACTGCCTTTCCAGCATTGGCCTCGAAAAAAAAATCCTTTTCTTCTTTCATAGCCACTTGTGTCTCTGCTTTGGATTTTGTCAGTGACAACAGCAGACCTGCCGTGTTTGGGACCCTTGGAGCCAAGCACTCCTGCACCCCTGTGCCCCGGCTACAATGGCATCAGCAGGAATGGAAGCTCTTATCTCTGACTGCAGACTTAGTCCGTGATGGGAACCAGCCTGCCTTCTCCGCAGCAGCGGATGGAGCCTGGATGAGCCCTTGGGTTGTGACTGCAAAAGCCTGGAAACTCCTCTGATCTGCCCAGACACTGGCTGAAATTCTGCCTTTGTGAGGACGAGAGGGAGAGGGGCTGTGTTGACAGAAAAGGAAGCCATGAGGAGGGGCTCCCCCTGGCTAAACCCACGACAATTTGTGTATCAGAAAGAACAGTGACTACAAGCCATGGAGACTCCTCTTCCCCGTGATCCTCAAGGGAGAACAAAAAGATGCAACAAAAGGCCACGGAATGGGAGAACATTTCTGCAAACCATGTATCTGATAAGGGACATGCACCTGAGATACTGAAAGAGCACTTACAACCGGTAGCACAAAGACGACCCAGTCAAAGTACAAGCAAAGGACCGAATAGAGATTTCTCCAAAGATACACAAATGGCCACAAAGCTCATGAAAAGGTGCTCATTATGGGCCGTGAGGGAAATGAGAAAGCCAGAAGGAGATACCGCTTTACACTCCGCAGAAGGGCAGCAAATGGAGCCCAGCAGGTGTCCCCGAGGAGGCAGAGGAAGGGGCGCCCTCGCCGATTGGAGCAGCGGCCCTCGCAGTTCTTCCCACGACTACACACGCGGCTGCCGGCGACCCCAGCAATCCCTCTCCCAGAGCCCCACCCGAGGGAACTGAAAACATGCGTTCACACAGCCCTGGGGTCCAAAGGCTCACCGCAGCACGGTAGATAACAGCCAGAAAGTGAAAACAACCCAAATGTCAGATCAGCTGACAGAACACACAAGATGTGGAATAACCATACAATGGGATATTGTTATTACGTTGTTGTAAAGATTTTATTTATTTATTTAATTGACAGAGAGAGAGAGAGAGAGAGAGAGAGAACACAAGAGGGGGAATTG